GGATATCCTCAAAAAGTGTACCATTCCTGATAAATGAAGTGTACAGACTAAAGAAGTATTGTACAGAAAAAAAGAAAAAAATAAATACACCAAACTTCTTAAAAAATACAAACTGTATGTATCCTTTTTAATGTCATAATCTATATTAAGTATTTAAGGGAATCATTTGAACGTATTGGTCTCAAACACTGAATAGTAAAATCTGGAATGAAGAAAATCCTCAATACATAAAATCACAACTTGTATATATATTAAATACACCACTTATTCATATGAACAATGCACACATAATTTAATGATTAATTAATACATTGACATTTTTGATAACACTGACACAAGCATGTGCAGTCTCTCCTACAAGGAAAGCTGTTCTGTATTGAACAATTTCTTGTGAACACTTGTTTATCACTATAGGTCCAGTCGATATTTTGTTCCGATCTTTATGGCTTATGGCTGAATGTTTGAACAAATAAATGCAAATCCACAAAGAAATTCCTAGCCTCTTGTGCAAACAATTTTTTCATTGGCTGGAAAGCTCATTTGAGAGCCAATCAAGTCCTTCGTATAATCCTGTTCCTTGTGTGGCACATGTGCTTTGAATATACCACTGAAAAGAAAACAACATTTAAATGAAAAGTACCTTCATGTACAATTTAATGATTATATGTACTTGAGTAGCTAAACCTTTATCAATTTGTCTTATCAGATTTTCATCACATGAAATGATTAAAATCTTGAAATAAAATTCTGTACAGTTTGATTTCATTTCTCAGAGTTAATAATACATGTGTATGTAATAAAACTGAGTCTTACTTTTCGTCCCCTCAGTTGACTGAGTCCGAGTTTCTCTGTGATTTCTGATGCTGCCATGGCATTGGGGAGATCCTGCTTGTTAGCGAATACTAATAATACAGCATCTCTTAGCTCATCCTCTTCCAACTATAACAAAGTAGGAGATAGTACAGAAAAATTCATGTGTGCAAAACTCTATTATTCCCATATATAAAAGACAAGTACAGTAAAACTCGATTATAATGAAGTCACTGGGACATATAAAATTAATTCGCAATACATGCATCTGTAATTTCCTCTATATACGTTTAAGGAATGTGTTAAATTTATATAGCTGGGGGTCCAAGATAACTTCGTTATTTCCATGAATTCACAATATCAGTGTTTGTACTAACGAGTTTTACTGTAGTATGCTTATTGTGAAACAAATAGAATTGAAATCATGCATTTTACTTCATTTTTACTGTACTGATAATCTTAAAGACTCTATGCAAATCAATTAATATTTTAAGATATTAGACGCAAAATATGATACACGAAGCACCAAAAATTGTCTCAATTAAGGAGGCTAGGTGGTCAACAAGTTATTTTTTTTATTTTGCATATGCACAATGATATAACTTTTTTTTTTTTTAAATTTTGTACTGCTGTTACTGTTCTTAATAAAACAGTCATTATACATGTAATTCATTTTTCTATAAAGCTTAACAATACATTTGGAACAAATGATCTCTTCAAAATTCTCGTAATATATATATTTTTAAAATAGATCATTTTATGTATATCCATTTAACTTTTATGGAGCTCTTCTTTTATTTAGCAAGTACAAAAATCTAAAAATGGCCACGATATCCCCACACTTTACACACTCTATATCATTGAAGAAGATACAGCTTCTTGTTGCAGACTAATATTATCTTTCATGAAACATAAAAATTACTTCATCTTTGTATCAAATAACAGGGACTTTTGTAAGTTCAAATAAAAAATATACTGTGTAAGTGGAAATTTTAGCGAGACGCAAATTTGGCTATTTGTCCTTAAAAAATTGGTATTTTATTTTTAGGGAGATGTAATTTTGGTGATTTTACTGCTATTAAAAGTATTAAAAATAAAGCGCAACTAATTTCTACATATTCAATTTTAGTGATCTCGGCATTCATTATACATGTAATGCTCAAAAATCTGCTTATGCGGTATAAAAAGCAAAAAAATCTTTTAAATAGATCTATTATAAAGAAAGACAACATCACTACCATCCTAGCCTGTTTCCTTTTCCTGTTCATCTGCACACTTGTACAATTATCAATTTGACAAATTTTACATTACTATCAGTATATCTACCTGATTCAAGTGTGTTTTAAGGTTACAGTGAAAACCCGAATCTCTGTCATACTACTATGAATAGTTTTAATTATGTGTTTTTCATAATTTATTTTGAAGAACTGTTCACCATGATGAAGAACTCACCATTTTACATAACTCTGCTTTCGCCTCATCCACTCTTTCTCTGTCATTGCTATCCACAACAAAGATGAGACCCTGAAAAGGTATAAAATTTAATACACTGTTATAATTTGTTATCTCAAAGACTATCTTGAAAACAAGGAATATGTTAAACTGCTCTCACAGTTTCAGCCACAACCTTTTCCTCTTGTTTATCTTAATTCTGTCAAATTTTATATGAAAAGACTTGTTATGTTTGACTGTTTAACTAATCACGTCACTGATCATTAAAAAGAAATTGCATGTTTGTATTGTTTAATATAAATACCCATACACCATGTACAGTGTACAATTAATGAACAGTCTTTAAACAGTGTCACTTCTTTTGTGAGATTGATTTATTAAATTGGCCTACTACAGTACAATAACTCATTTAAGCAAATATTATGATATTAGGAAGTCATTTATAAATAAAAGTAAGGGAGGGAAACCTGTGCATGCAAACAAAACACAGCTACAATGGATTTTTTTTCACTTTGCTTAGAAAACACATGAAATTACAAAAAAGCTAAGTTGAACTCAATAACACTAAATGGACAAACTATGTTTTTTAAGGGGGGGGGGGGGGACATGTATACCGTTGTTTATTTATCAGTTTAGAAAAAAACTCACATGAGTATTCTGGAAGTAGTGTCTCCAGAGTGGACGGATTTTGTCCTGACCGCCGACGTCCCACACAGTAAAACTGATGTTCTTGTACTCTACCGTCTCCACATTAAAACCTTAAAGAAAAACGTAAGTGAAAATTCTTGTTAAGATGAAATAAGAATAGTCAAAGTATGAGGCATAAAATGATATGGTCTGTAACTTTTCATGTAAAGTGCCATGAAAAAATGTAAATGTTACTTAATATAAATAAAAAAATTGATATACCATTTCACAAAACAAGTCTTCTTTTCATTACTTTCATCAACTAAAAAAAATCCTACCAATTGTGGGAATAGTTGTGACAATTTCTCCTAGTTTCAGTTTGTACAGGATGGTTGTTTTACCAGCAGCATCAAGTCCAACTACAAACATTAAAATATTATGGATACAGGATGCAACTATAAATAGTATGTAATGAAGTGTACCACAATGCATTTAATTGTTGTTCAATGTTTTGGCTATGTTCAACAAAATTAAAGACACAGCTTTTTAAAATCTTTGTGTATATATATAATAGAAAATTGCTAAATTGTCACAGGAAAGGAGTATATTGGTAGTATATGACTGAAACAAGAATCAAACCCATGATCCCTGCTTTACTAATACTAGTCAGGTGCTCTAGACTGAGCTATCCAGGATAACATCCGCAGTCCATATACTCCAAAGCACTACATTTCTCCTTTCCTTTCTTTTACTGTTTTTGTCTTTGAAGACACATAATCCAGATTATTTAGCCCCTGACAAAATTTTCTCTTTGAGTTTTGGGATGGCCAACAGCAACAAATGCAACAAGAAATGAGAAAATCATGGATGGACTGAATATCAAACCCAGGACTACTGCATAACTAACTGGGTACTCTAACTTATAAGCTATCCTCCATGCTCATATCCACAGTCCCATTTACCCCAAACCAATACACATTGAATCACAACAATGACATTAAAATTTGAAGTGAGTCACCCCAGTATAAAGAAATATGTTTTATAGACACCCTCTTTTCAAGATTGAAGTAGAGAATACTTATATATTAATGTATTAAACTAGCTATGTGCAAGACATCAGTGACAAATGCAGGACACACAATTGAAGCACAAAATATTAAAATCAGCATGGTATTATTATTTATAAATCACAACGATTTTAATTTTTTAGACAAGTATTACTTCAATCTTACCCATGAGAATCCTCATTGCTTTCTTTCCAAACAGACGATTGAACAAACTGGAAATGGTGAGCCCCATTTTCGATGACTAGGGTTTAAAAAGATGATCGGTAGCAAAGTTATTGAATATTTTTGGATAGTATAGGTCTTGATATTAACCTTCACAACAAAAATATTTTCCACAACGACTCAGTGACAACCTAATACAAGAATTTTTGTCAATGCCACGTCAATTTCTCCAACCTAATTTTCTTTTGACAATGACGTATGCGAAGCGGAAGTGGTTCGACTTTTAGCGGTGCGTCGATTTACCCAAAAGGACCCAAAAGGAACCTAAAAGGACCCAAAAGGACCCAAAAGGAAATTAAGAACGACCCAAAAGGACGTGAAATAAAGAGATTAAATGGATATATAATGAATACTTTCATATTTTATTAAAACTAAAACTAGTTTTTTGAGTGCGTGTTTGGGTATTTGAATCCCCACCCAATCCCCGATATATATGTCAAAATAAACTTATTTCTTTAATCATATAAATGTATAAAAAAGAGAAATAGAATAATACAGTGCACTTTGTTAAATTCAGCTAAAAGAAATCAACAAACAAATTATTGTTATAAAAGTCGTATGTTATTTCTTTAAGAAAAGTTGCAACAATATAAATGTATGTTTTTGCCAATTTTTAGGTAAATTTATAATATAATATTCATAATTTAATTCAAATTATTAATTTTCAATGTATTATAATATATTAATTCGAGTCCTTTTGATTTCCTTTTGGGTCCTTTTGGGTTCCTTTTGGGTCCTTTTGGGTCCTTTTGGGTTCCCTTTGGGTCCTTTTGGGTCCTTTTGGGTAAATCGACGCACCCGACTTTTAGTATTAAAATTCATGGAACGAAAAAAGTATAAATGCGCTTCTCTACCCGAAATCAAGAAAAAAAGTTCTATTTGAATTCTTCCTATATATTCAAATTAAATGTATAAAAAAGAATCACAAATTCAGGAGATAACAAACAAATTATTTCGTTTTCTTCAGTTATTCCAAAACGAAAATTATTTTTAGCATTTCGAGCCCGATTATTTTTTTTAAAAAATGCTTTCAAATCGGATTTTTTTATTGATTTGTTGATTAAGCTTGTAGGCATGTATCATTGAAGTTCTTTCTGTCGGTAGTAGTATAAATTCCATTATTTTTCATCAAATATCTCAAAAGATAATGATAACGGCATGTGAAAAGGGGGGGGGGGTAGAAAAAAAAAAGAAAGCGTTTTTCACAAGCCATTTTGTTAAACACACAATTAAATTGCCCATGAAGTGGTGAGGTAACTAGTCTTTCAATAAACATTTTAATGATAAAATGTTACATGGATGTTTGGCAGCTCCCCACCCCCACCCCACCCCCGGTCTGTTGATTTTTAGCACATTGCATTCATGATGATTTACTTATAACTAACACCCCAATCCACAAACATAACATTTTAGATAGATGCACTAGTACTAGTAATTAGAAAGTTTAAGGGTCAAGGGTCTAGGCAAACAATAAATATATTAATTAGCAGGTATATCATCGTCGGAAACCCACGGGTGATCTCGTTTTTACTTATCACAAGTACGAGATCACCCGTGGGTTTCCGACGATGCAGGTATATATAATTAGTGTACATTGTAGATCTATTAATAACATTTTTAAAACAGTTGAGTTTTTTTTTAACTTATTTTAATCAGCATACTAGTATAAATACATGTAAACCAACCAAGAAAGGTAGATCCCAATTTTCAAAGCCTATATAATGTCTATTTTTGCAAAAAAAAGTGGGGGGGGGGGGAGGCTAAGCCCCACACCCTACCCTCTAGCCCCCGGGTTCCGACGCCTATGTCGGGTAATGCATAGAACAACAAGGGAGTCATGTAATGGTGGAAGTGTATCTTGTTATCACTCAACACAACGGTACAACAAATAATATCCAGCTGGGATTTCAAGCTGACATATCATGTTCCCTGCATTTTTGTGAGCATATATATATATTTTTCTTCAAGAACATCAAATTAAATGCACAAGCATATAACGCAATAATCAAACTTTGAACTGGGGGGCACTTTTTCTCTACTGTGTGAAGTTATCGCCCTTATAAATTTAAATTACATGTACATTCATTTCTTTGCAAAAATATACAATTCTGAAAAATCCAATGTAAAGTACGAAGATCAAGAATAAACTTTTTATAAATTCTTTTAAAATGACGACGAGAATTTTCTCTTTAGTATAGAATAAGTATTTTTCCGTTATTTTTTATTGTAAATAACTAAGAAACATTTATGTATTTTGTATACACAAAGTTTACTTCATAAGAATAAACAATATGTGAGTCAGACAAATAAAAAATAAAGAAAGAGAGTGCATGATTGTGGGGAGATAAGAGAAATGGAAGCAGCGAGAGAGAAAGATGAGGGGATGGAGTGGAAGGAGGAGGGAGTGGAGAGAGGAAGAAGAAGAGAGAGGAGGGAGTGGAGGAAGAGGGAATGGAGAGAGGAGGATTAGGAGAGAGGAGGAAATGGAGGAAGAGGGAGTGGAGAGAGGGAGAGGAGGAAGAGGGAGTGTAGAGGAGTAGAGAGTGGAGAGAGGAGGAAGAGGGAGTGGAGAGAGATGGAAGAGGGAGTTAAGTAAGAAACATGTGAGGGGAGAGAGAAAAGATGGGAGGGAGAGAGAGGAGGACGACTGAGTGGGGAGAGAGAGATGGGAGAGAGAGACAGAGAGAGAGGGAGGGAATACTTTTTTCTTTGTCAGTTCTTTGCAAACATTTAGAGAGGGACCATCTCTGACTATGCAAGTGAGTTAATTCTAGATGTAGGCTTGTCTATGCTTAAGGAATCACTGTGCAGTTGGTATAGTATGCCAGGGCATCAACGATAGTGGGAAACAGCCCGTCATGCATAAATTATCCCATTTTTCCACTATCGTTGATGTCCCTTGCATACTATACTAACTAGACACTGATTCCTTATATTTCCATTTCATTGTGAAATAAAATTGAAGATTTAGATTTTAAAAATGTGGACTAATAGATTTGAATTACACAATAGTCCTCGCCCACTTACGTCAAACACAAGGACAGCCGCACGAGATTTACATGTATATTTGGCCTCTATAGCGTCAGAAACAAAGACAGACGCGCACGAGATTTACATGCGCATTAGGTTGTGAGGTGGATAAAGTATACAAATTGCAATTGGTTTAATAATGTGTCTGGAATTAGGAAGTGAAAGGTAGATGATTTACCAATGTTGGAAAATGGAGAAATCCTCCCAAACAGTGCGCCGTAAATTGCATATTTTTTCTATTACGGGATCTGTACATAGCATTATGGTCAAAGACTAATACTGAGTATATATAAAACCATAACGCTACAGTTCTGCAGCCAGTTTTTATCTGGTCTTTTAATTTGAACATTTTGGTACCTCTTTGTCAATATATGTCATCAAACTTGATTTTAAATTTACACAATCACCAAATATTTCTAGATTTTCAGGCTTAGTTTTCCAATGCTTGATCCATCCCAGTCCCTCACAGCTGCACTCCACAGGCGAGCCAGAGAGATCAATATCTTGAAGTGCTTTAATGTTCATGATGGCGGTAGGGATGGTAGTTAAATTCGTGTTGTCCATTCGAACATCTGCGAGTTGGTTAATGGTCATGAAAGCATCTTTGGATACCCGGGTTATTGGATTCCCAGACAGGTATAACGTAGTTAGCTTTGTCATGCCTCCAAAATCGGAGTCGTATATTTCTGTGATTTTGCTATTTGTAATCTGAAGCCGGACAATGCTTCTTAGAGAGGAAACACTAGATGGGACGATTGAAAGTTTCGTGTCGTTTAAAAAAAGGTACATGAAATTTGAGAATATATTTGGTGGAAAGACGTCATCACGTATGTACTCGATTGGTTCCGAGAAAACTGACAAAGCACCGAGCTTTGAGGATTTCATAAAGATATTCGGAATTGTTTCAAGGTTGTTGTCTTCAAAAGTTACATGCATTAAATTTGGCAGTCCACTTTTCGCACAGTTTGAAATGGCATTTGCAGAGAGGTTTTTGTTACCTTGAAAAAGCAAATCACCTAAAGAGTCTAGGCCGGCAAAAGATGGCAGAGTTGTCAAACTTGTATTATAAAAGCTCAGAAATGACATAGTCTTCTTATACATTTGGAAAGAAGTCTCGGGAATTGTAGAAAAAGTCACATCATAAAGGTCTATTGAAATTAAGTTTGGTAGGTATTTCATATTGTCGGGCCATTTCTGCATTGCATCAGATCCCAGACTTATAAATTGTAAAGAAGACGCCACCTTCTGCAGTACTCCATCCTTTAAATCGGCCATTGGATTTCCCTGTAAATTTATACCCATGAGTTTCTTCAGACTACCGACAGCCGTCGGTAATTCCTTCAATCTATTATAATGTAGATGAAGAACTATCAGACTATCCTCACTTCCGGCGAATGCGTCATCATCAATGCTGTCGATTTCATTACTGTCAAGAATCAACATCTGAAGCGTCACTCCAACAAAACTTCTGGAAGGAATATGTGTGATCTTATTTGCACCCAGATAAAAGGCCCACAAACCGTCAGCTTTCGTGACGTTAGGAACAGAAGTCAGGTTTTTGTCACGACAGTACACGATAGGATCCTCTCTGTCACACTCACATGGCGGGGGGAGGGGACAGGAATCAACAGACAGACCAACGGAGCCAGGAATACGAGCGAGAATGAAGACTGCACAATGGACCTAGTAAAAGGAAAACATTTCATGCGTTTGAGATCTTTGGCGCGTAGATTTGGTTTGGTCAAGAAGAAATACGAATGTTTGAAGTTTCAATGCAGAAAGACATTGATCACGTCCTCTAGATTCACAGACTATCGATCAAAAGACCGTAAATATATACAGTAAATATGATGATTAGTCTATCAAGTGAAGAAATTTATTAATTTTATGCTAAACTTGATTACAAGTATTTCAGATAAGTAACTTATAAAAAGAATTGCCCTGTGTATACTTTATATATTATGATTACAAACTTACAAGAATTATCTTCATGTTGACCTTTTCAACGAATTTACCCTCTCTCCGGAAAGATAAGATCAATTATATATGTACAAGGAGAGAAAACTGTAAATCGAAATATACGAGGGTTATCAATATTATAGTTCGCGGGAAAATGTTTAAATTTCTTAATTTGATCGAAAAGAATGCCCACTGTTTAACGAACGTTACAGGTGTAAATACTTTGTACATGGTATACATATTTAAAAAAAAACCCATAACGTTCCAAATCTTTTCATGATAACGTCCAAAATATGGATTTTGAATTTTTATTACATGTTCATCGAAATACACGTAGGCTGCATTTCCTTAAATTTTACAATTATAGCCTTTTGATGAGGTCAATCCCTAGATATCCCTTAGAGAAAGCATATTGACCGAGTACGACGTGCGGGGTCGATATGCTTTCTCTAAGGTCTATATATACCGGTATATATCTAAGGATTGTACCAAATCAAAAGGCTACCATTGTTTTATTATCTTTTTTATCAGTTGATAAGAAATGTCTTTAAAAATCCATTTTTTTAAACACTTAGCACCTTCTCATATAAGGGATTGTTATGTTATTTGCCTTATGACGTTACAGTAATGAATATAGCAGCTGCAGTATCAGTTTTTAGAAACATATATAGTTTATTTAAAGACTTTTGTTCTGTTTCAGCACTATTATTTCCTCACAGAAGAACGTTTCCAATTTTAGAAACAGCAGTTTTAGAAACGGTGCATAGGACAGACCAGTCCGATTTTAAGCCAGATATATAACAGCGTTATGGTAAGGGATACTGAGTATCCTTAAATAAGTATTTTCATCAAATAACAATCATTTTGATTTTCCACTTCTTGATGTGTTGCCAAATTTGAATACATGTATACTGTCAGAAAATCATATATGCAGAGTTTTCATTTCAAATCAATGAGCTATATATTCATATATTTGCAATATTCAATTTGTTGGAATAAATATTTAGTCTCTGAAGTCCTTTTGACCGTATTAAGTTCTCTGTAATGATTTGAAATTTTATATAGGAGCTGTGGCTTTTTTCATCTCTATGATAAAAGTCATTGATACCCTAAACTGAAATCAGGAAAAAATTGGTTGCTATGTTGTAAGTGACTGTTCTTAAAGTTCGGGCATTTTTTAACATGTTTAGAGCCCCATAGTTAACATTTGTGGCAAAGCAAACAATTGGCAATGACTTTTCCTGTCAATTTTTGAAATCAACTTTTACGTTACTATGCAAAGTTTTTTTCCATTAAAAATTTATTTGTTATGCCTTGAAACATATTATAAAATTTCAAGGTTGCCAAGGTTTTTATACCACAGAGAGCCTTCAAAGTAACACTCTGTGTAATTAAATCTGATCCTATCTTTTAAAAAAAGCACATTTCCTCATAACTAATGATCAATTTTATAAGATGTCGGTGTGCTCCAAGTTTTCCCATTTGAAAAAATTCAGATAAGATTCTTTAAATAGAGCGTTGCTATGGAAATAAGCAGAAAATATATGCTTAAAAACCTGATTTTATTTATTAACAGCCTTGACTTTTAATTTTGACTATATTTCTCTAAGTGGATGCAAGAAGTTGTTTTAATATTGATATAAAGTAAAAGATCGAACATTTTCCGTCATTTGGTAACCATAGCAACAGTGTGATATTGAACCAGTTCTAACAGATAAGTACTTTTCATATTAAATGGCAATTTAATTCAAATAATTCATTTTAAGCACTGGTACTTTGTTTCCATGGTTACACTGCAAAGTAGCAATTATACCCAATTTTTCTTATGGTTTTGGTGTTGCAAGGTCCTAAGGATTATTTGCCAAATTTTCAAACGTTTTTTCTCAAGACAGTGTAACCCAATCTTAGTTACTGGTTTTGCATGGTTACAACCATGGCAACCATAAAAGTTATTTATAGAATAATATTGCTTATACTTATATACTTAAGGTCAAACATTTTCATTGTTTTTCTTGAGTCGTTGATTGAGTTTGAGCATGTAACACCTACCATTAGTGAATACGGAGTGTTTTTCAGCATATTTCAGCATTTAAAATGTATTCCAAAAGTACCCTTGGTTCCACTTACTTAGAAATATAATCTAAACAGTTTCTTTACAGTATAAGTGACATCAAGGTGTTGTTTTTGTGAGAATGGTTTGTTTGCTTTTTCTAGTTTTTATTAAGCCACAGTCAAGATTTAAAGTGGCTTAAAATCTAAAAGCAACCGAGACACATCTCGATTTTTTAAACTTTTCCGGCTGTTGAATAGCAACCGAGACACATAGAACAAAATTTTGTTTGATATTTGTTTCTGGTGTCAAGTACTAAGCATGGGTGAAGTTTCATCAAAACCGGTGACCATGCGTGGCAATGAAGTTTAAGTGGTTACAGGGAATGGTTATTAAATCCTATTCATTCAGAATTTTTATGACTGGAAGCTGTTCCGTTCGGATGGCCGAGGTCGCTTTTCCTGTCAATTTTTGAAACTTTTCTTGCAGTTTTTTCCTTAATTATTTATGCCTTCTTTATATCAAGCGATACTTAGATATCCCAAAATCACATTGCCATTTTATTTCCAAAATTTCATCAGGGCATGAATTGTTTTATTTTAAAAGATTCATTTAAACCTTGTCTGTGCTACCCTGACTTTTCATAACAAATATTTTGGTACATAATAAGTATATCTAGGATAAATTTATTTTGTCAAAAAACGTTGTTGTCGGAATGACCACGTGTACGAAATTATTGACAACCCTCGTATACATTGAAGAATATATAATAGATCATCTTTTTATAAAAGAAAATATGAGTGAAATTTTAGACGATATTTACAGAATCCTTTACAAGCTGTTAAAGTTGCAATTGCAGGCGTATGCTTCTCTACCTCGTTGTTAACTCGAGAATAAAATTTGCTTTTATAAAAAAAAAAAAAAAGTGAATCTAAAATGGAAAAAAAAATCCGGATACATTGCATTAAAATTTGACTTGGGAGATAAATCTTAAAAGAAGTAACGGTCTCAATGATAGTTCTATTTTTTAGAGGGTCAGTGAAAATTATAATAATTCCTTTTAAAAAATCTGTAGATTTTCATCCATTTCTATTCTCTGTACATGTATTGATCTAACAAATACGCGTTCACATATATAATCAAAGTACTCAGAAGTACAGAGAGCCGGGCTCATTTACAGAGTAGAATGGATTTTTTACATGAATCACGTTTATATTCTGATGAAAAAAATATTTAAAACTATCAATATTAATGCTAAGACACTGACAATGAGTTTTTTGATCCTAATACAATGGTCTGATTTTGTCAGAATCAGAATTAATCTGGTACCGCAGATGAATGTCAACAATCAGGCCAGTCTGGTTCCCTCTCCTGCTTTACCTCATATGAACACTGATTATCAAAAATCCTTACGCTAATGAACTATGTTCTTTGACTTAGAACCGAAGTTTTCAAAGTCATTACTACTTATGTTTTATAAAGATAAAACTTCGTTTTATATTTGTTGCTTTATTTATCGTTTGTATTATCTCAAAAGCTGTTGAGAGTAAGAACTATATTTTTGCACGTAACTTTGAAATGGCGACTATGGGGTTAACATCCTGCCTTGAACAGGATCACATAAGCCGGCAATTGCTCTTTGAGCAATAAGCCCGGCTAAAAATAGAATTTTTACCACTCGAGATCACAACGTGTTTCGCTAAAGCGTTTTGGGATGTGAAATTAAACTTTCAATTGCAGTAACGGAATTGATCAAATGACATCCAGTTAATTATATTATAATTGTCCTTTTTTTAAAATTAAGATTTACGGAAGTAGATTTTTTTCAATGGTTTGATTAAAAGGACCTCTTTCTAAATTTCAAAACCAATATATCAGGATATCAATAATAAAATGATGGCGATAGAAGCTTGCAGAGATGCAAATATTTCAACATTATGAAGAAAATCCATACAACACTTGTATTGAGAGGTACTTCACCCAGCTAGATTACAATCGGTGCTTCCTCTTTTCAATAGTTCTGAATACACGCGTTTTACAATATCATGAACGGAATACAAGTAACACTTTAAAGTGCAAATCAAACGTTTACAACATCAGAAACAAAACACTGGCCTTGTCTAAATGATCTAAATCTATTCCTTAAATTGAAGCCTGGAATCAGTAGGGAGATGGGTGTATAAAAAGATCAGAATTTTATTTTTCTTTTTTTTTTTTAGTTTACTATTTTAGAATTTAAATTATTCTGCAATATTACGCTATGCTTTCCTGGCTATGATTTAGGCACATATAACCGTACTTCTCTCAAACGGAAATATCCACTACTGAACTCGACAAATTAGTTATATATGTACATGATATTCCCCTGTACTTGTATAACAAGGGATAGATCAATTCATTTGTGAAAATTATGATCGTGATGAATTATTTTATTGAACAAGTGAATCTCCAGTTGAGAGATGAATACATAAAACAATAAAACAAAAACAAGATAAACATGACATAAAGCTATGAATTTTGAAATCCGTAATTTTCCAGAGGGTCAATTTTCGATGCAGTCGTGGTATAAGGAGACCCACTGTAGATGCCCTCCACAAATACTACATCTTTAAAAACAAAATGAAATATCAGTAAACCAATATGAAAGTTTTCCCCTCTAAGCACGAGAATTGAACCCCATGAAAATATGTGAATTTATAGTACGTGTAAAAAAATGAAAACTTTAAACAATCCTTTAACATTACACGTTTTCGAGATTGTTGTTTTCTACATCATCTTTGGGAACAGGTAATAACTGAGCCGTTGAAGCCTCTCCAGTCCTTTCAGAATCATCACTCTGGTTATTTGTAGTATCACCATTCTGAGACAAATGGTCATGTGAATTTGCAAGTCTTTGTTTAAAGTATAATTTTAACCTGTATAATCCGAACAGCAAAGCATACGCAATCGATATGCAGATAAATAGATATAAAACAACCCACAT